CATTAATACTTGTGGAACTATCTATAACAAGTCTGTTCAGATTTTTGCATTTGCTGATGATATTGACATAGTCTCATGCACTCCCGAGTCACTTAGAAAGGCTTTTACATCTCTAGAGGCTGCAGCCAGCAAAATGCATCTAGCAATCAACCAAAATAAAACTAAATTCATGCCATGTGGTAATAACAGCAGCCCCTGTTTTGAAATTCGGAATTACACATTTGAAATTGTTAGAAAATTAAAATATTTAGGATCAGAAGTTAGTACTCTCAATGATTTAATGCCTGAGATCTGTAGTAGAGTCACAGAGGCTAACCGATGCTTTTTTGGTCTAAAAAAATACTTGACGTCTAACTTCACTAGCAGAAAATGACGATTTTAATTTACAAAAGCTTAATCAGACCCATTCTTACATACTCTGTTGAGACCTGGCAATGGCAGAAAAAGCTAAAACTATAATTTCTGTCTTTGAAAGAAAAATTTTGAGAAGTATTTTTGGTGGCATAAAGTGTAACAATATCTGGAGAAGAAGAACTAACTCTGAACTCAATAAATCCTTTAAAGACATAGATAAAATATATAAGGATTCAGAGAATTAAGTGGGCAGGACACCTGTGCAGAATGGATGAAAATCGAGTAACTAAAAAGATCTTCTCGGCCAGACCATTCTGCACCCGAAAAAGAAGGAGACCTAAACTTAGGTGGCTCTACTGTTTGGAAACAGACTTAACAATTTTAAAAATAACCAATTGGATGTCCAGGGACAGAAGAGCTTGGAATTCGATTCTGAGGAAGGCAAGGGCCCATCCTGGGCTGTCTGGCCATTGAAGAAGAAGAGGAAGAAACAAGAAAGTTAAGATTTATGTCAAATACATAGTTACTGCTTATTATGATCACGTTGGTAACTTTTAAAAATCATAACATTAAGCAGGTGATAGCAACGTGAAATAAAATGTTTACCTACTAACCTAGCAGTTAACAGCCTTATTTATACATCCTAAAAGTAAAGCATTCATCTTAAACTGTCTTTATTTAATTATAATAAAAAAAATATATCACGGGGAAGATAAAAACAGGGAAATGTTACCACTATGAAGATAAAAGTCTTTACCATAGAAATTGTATATATGGAAGTAATATTTATCACCATTTGTTTGCCAGAAATGTATTTATCATTAATTGATATATATTTTTTGAAGCAAATATTTATGCTTTTATATTTTCACGTGTTGCATTTGAAATGAGGTTAATCTCTCATGAATATCAAAACCCCAAATTTTTAAGCTTGCATGCTTACGTATTGAACAGAGGTTTTTTGGTTTCTTCGCATGCAAATTCTTTTCCTTTGGCATGGTAACTAATATTTTCCATTGTTAACCGAGTGACAAATTATGTTTTTGTTATTCATCTGCTACAATGCTACCACGATGTCTTTCTTCATCTATGTCATTATGTCATTTATTTTTATATCATGGAGATTTTTCAGTATTCCTGAAAATCAGAGGGTGATTCAGCTGCTTTTGGGTATTATCTTTTGTAAAATTTAGTTTGGATTGTTTTTGCTGTGATATTGTTCCATGACATAGCTAAAAGCTACAAAGAATTTAAATGATTTACAGAGAGGAAACCATACATTTGTACCACTGAAACACCTCTACCCATTTTTAGCCAAATCTCATCTTTAAATGCATTCATTATTTGTGCGTTGATGAGTACACTTTTATTACTGACTTTAGTGAATTAGAGTTTTATATTTTACATCTTTCCTGGCATGCTACTTTACTAAATTTTGATTGGCTTCTACAGCGTGCTGATGAAGTTAAGCCTGAATTATATTAATTTAGTTATTTATTATATTCAAGCTTTCCAAACAAACCCCATAAGAAAATCACCATGGTTCTTCTTGATCTTTCTGTTGCTTTTGACAGAGTCTGGAGGCAGAAACTGATCAACTTTTTACACGATACAGGCATTACATCTAATGCTCTAATCTGGATTAATGATTTTCTAAGGAAAAGAAGCTTTAAAGTCAGGGTTAATGGCCATTTCTCCACCACTCACCATACCCGGGCAGGAGTTCCTCAGGGCTCCATACTTAGCCCTCTTCTTTTTCTTCTATACATGAGTACGATTGGCCCCCACATCAGTAAAAAAATCAAAGTTGCCTGTTATGCCGATGATATTGCAGTCTGGCACACCAACTCAAATCCTGAAGTCTCACAAAAGGCTCTAAATATCTATATGAGAGGCATTGAAATCTGGTCAAAAGATCTTAAAATTAATCCAGATAAAACAAACTTTTGTGTCTTCTCAACAGATAGAAAAAAAATAGAAGCTCGTTTCATCCTATTATAAAGCTATTAGGTTCTGAAATCAAACAAACTTCTAACCCCAAGTATCTTGGACTGACCCTAGATGCAGAGTTGAGATTCTCTAAACACCTTGAACATGTTTCAATAAAGGCATTGGAAAAGCTAAAATTTCTTAAAAAACTTTGTGGTGCCTCTTGGGGATCAAGACCCAAAACCCGCAAGAATACTTACACTTCCATGTTCAGGCTGTTTTAGAATATGCAGCACCCATATGGGCATCGGCAAGGCCTAATGTTAAAGGAAAGATTGACGCTGTTCATAGGCCTCTAAATGTCATAAAGGAAAGATTGACGCTGTTCAATATAGGGCCTCTAAAATCATCACTGGAGCTCTTTCATCAACGAATAACATCAAAATTGAAAAGGAATGCGGCCTCGCCCCCTTGGAGAGCAGAAGAAAATTAATAAAAATTAATTTACCAACAAAATACAAACCCTTGCTGAATATCATATCTCAAGTAGAACCTTCAGGGCATGGAGTGACAGTTTCAGGCTTAAGAGATCCTCAACCCTCCAACATGACCAAGATATCAGAAATGACATCAACATCAAATATGAGACTCTCAAAATTTCCAAAGAGCCTTACAACATTCTGTACCCTCTTCCCCAAACAAAAAAATTTATTTAACTCTTTTACAGCCTTGTACCAAGAAAGATCCCACTGCAATAATCAAAGAAAAGGGTGACCATACCATTGAGGAACTTGCGACCTTAACTCAAGATCTGACGATCGCCTACACAGACGGCTCTTCTGACTTCAATCTGAACAGAGGAGGAGCGGGAGTCTTTTTCATCGGACCAGACGGAGTGCAGAAATGCCACAGTATTCCTGTTGGGAAAATCACCTCCAACTATACATGCGAGCTCGTTGCCATCAAAAGTGCTCTGGAGATTTATCTCTCTAAAGAAGACCAGAGTTCCAAGGACATCATCATCTTCTTTGACTGCAGATCAGCATTGCAAGTGATCCAGAAGGGCAAATGTCAACTCAGTCATCAGATCATTGAACTCACAAACAAAATCATTGCTGCCCCCAAATCCTGCATCTTGCAATGGATACCAGCTCATGTAAATATTTTTGGTAATGAGAAGGCCGATGAGCTTGCAAAGGCATCCCATGATTCTCCTCAGCCATCCAACTGCCTAACCTTCGTTGATGCCAATTGCCAGCCAAAGACTAATCGATCAAGTTAAGGGAAACTCCATCCCGGAATTGAACTGTGACAGAGCCATATCGACTATCATAACCAGACTTAGGACAAATCACTTAAAAGGGATGAGGATTTCTGCCGATGGACAGCATAGTTAACCAACATTTGTTCTCATTTTCCAGATGACATCCCACTGTCTCGCCATCACATCTTCAGCTGCCCAGCAATCCAGGCCAGACTGTTTAACATTGGCATTGAAGAACCAGTGGACCTACTTTATACTGATAGAGCTGCCGAGGTTGCAAATGCTGTCTTTGACAGCTTCGAAGCTATATAATTGCACTTTGTAATAGACACGACATCATCATTATATTCAAGACTATTTCCAGCATATGCATAAGGCTTATCTAAGTCCTGAATAAATTAATTCCCACATTTTATTCAGTGCCAGCCCTAAATATTTTGCGGCCCGGTATAGTTTCTGTGGGTCCGAATTTCTGCTGCCAAGACCTTTGCTAAAATCTAAAAATTTTCATCCCAGTGCCTTCCATAAATTGTACAGATTTTACCATCACTTAATTTTGTAGCTTGGTACTTTTCCAAATTCTAAAAACTTTACAGCGCAGTGCAGCCGCACCAGCCGTAGCACCGGCCCTGAGCTTAACTTAATAAAAAGTCAGTTATTCTCAATTGAGATAGTACTAAATATTTTCTTTTGACCAATGCATCTCTTACAAAATCTATTTTTTTTTTTTTTTTTTTTTTTTTTTTTTTTTTTGCATATGGAAAGAAATTTCCGTTAAATTTCTCCTCGTCAACACACTCAGTATTTCATGCTGAAATTAGCTCAAGTCTGTAATCATCGCCCAGCGTAATATCAACATAAAACGTTATTATGTTCTTTTGTATTTAGTTACTAATATTAAAAATGAAAAAAAGCATTAAACATTACTGCCTGAACCATTTCTAAAGCAGCAGTTTGTTGAAACTGTAATGTTGAAAATATAATGATGAATTACAAAAATAATAAATAATGAGTCACCAGTGCTGAAGTGAAATTAAGAATTAAGACACTGCACATTATGTAATGAAAAAATATCAAATGTGTATAAATAAAAATATATATCAAAATATTAAAGCATGAAAAAAAATTTTCTAAAAAAAAAAAAAAAAAAAAAAAAAGTAAAAAAAAATATATTATATATATATATAAAAAAACGGTTGCTGGAGATCGGGATTTAGGGCTTTATGCTGTATTATTATTTACAATGTCCATAGATGTCAGTTTAAAATTTTCTGATGGTCTTCATCATAGAATGGTAAAATCAACTGAACTGTAGGTGGTTGTCTTAGAGAAAATTCAATACATATCTTTTAAGACTTGTATATTCTCTAATGAGCAGCATATGTCCTTTAATGTATTTAAACCATTTCTATAAAAACTGTAATGAAACTTATTTAATTATTTTTATTTTTAGTTTACAAACCAGGCCAGCCTGGTGGTGGTTGGGCCGATCCTTGCAACACTGATGATACAATAACTGAAGTGTTGCCAGAAGGTACTAGTAAAATAAGTTCCACATCAACTGATTCCCTTGAAATGAGGTTTGTGTTAAGCATTTTAAAAGGAACTGTTTGTTTCATGGTTGCAAAGTTTTATTCTATAAAAGATTCCCCTCTTCCTTTTTTAATATTGCATTCTTATGCTAGCTGTTTTACTTACTTAAAAATCTTATTAAAATATATTAAAAAATATTCCCTATATAATGAAATCTTTATCACGAGATTAATATCTTTAAATTGTTTTGTATTGTAATTGTTATGCTAATGGTTTTAAGTATACTATATTTTGTGATTGTGCTTTTATTAATAAAATATATAAAGGAGATTAGCTTCTTAAGATATATTATTAAACAAAAAAAAAAAAAATTATCAGTTGACTTAAAAACTGAATGAAATCTGTTGCATTAATTTATTTTTAATTCACAAACCATGTCAACCTGGATAAATTTGGGATGATCCTTGTGAGAAAGATAATATGCTAACTGACTGATAATATGCTAACCCAAGTTCGCAGTAATAAATACAAACAAGGATTTGTGAAATTTTTTGATGTGCATAATGTAAAAGAAAGAGTAATGTTTTCACTTTATTTATATATGAGGTATTGAGGACATTAAAGACTGAAATTTGAATCTTAGCTGAAATCATGTGATTTAATAAAATTCTTACAGTCTCTTAGCCACCAAATGGAAAACACTAAAGCTTGTCATGCTATAGTTAATCTTATCTATATATATATATGTAATAGATTCTCTAGTAGAACGCAGGTAGTTGTATCCACAATGAACAGCGAGAATTTTGATGCCATAGAATGCTGAAACGCCGATCCACAATGAATAAGAAATTTGGCAGTCAAGGTATATTTAATTTAACTTTTATTTCAGTAAACATGTTGTGGTCACAAACAAATTGTCACATTTATTGTGACTATTCCAAAAAGCTTACATTTTTGATAGATTTGCAGTAAAAAGAAGGAGCAGACAGACAGCAGTCCAGCTAAGCCAGAGCGGTGAAAACAAGTATGTTATGTTCAGAGTGAAATTTTAATTTAGACTGAGTTAGTTTTGGTTCTCAGTGCATTTTGATTGGATGGTTAATAATGCTGTAAAATTACTATTGGCTGTTTGAGTTTTAGTTTCATTTACATCATCAGAATTATGTAAGAGTCATTAGACATAGATTTTTCTCGAAATGAAGCAGTACAAATATAGGTTACTATTTTTAGAATACAGAAGGGAATTAATTTTCTCTGCTAATTTAATCTTTTACATATTCTTTATTTTTCTTACAGATATATATATATATATACAGTCAAAAGTCGTTAATCCGGACTCGTCGGGACTTCGGCGATTCCGGATTATCGATTTTTCCGGATTATAGATCATCAGTTTAAATCTCGTAAGATGGCATGCAGAAATTCTAAAATTAAAAATATGAAACCGTAATTTATGAAATAAAGAACAATTATGATCTAAAGGGTATCAAAATTTACAAGAAAAAAAAAAAAAAAGCTTAATATTTATTTGTTTACTTTATTAAACATTTCTTTCAATGTAAGTTGTTTCATTTTATGTGATAATACTTTCTCTTTAATTCTATAAACAGACATAATTTCTTGTTCAGTTACAAAGTTCCGCTGTTCAAGTCCCGTTAATTGCTGTGCTGAGAATACCGACTAACTTGTCAATCGAAATTTTTTCGTTTTCACTAAACTCTCTGTCACCTCTTCTTCATGTCTTTATCCATTTTTTGCAGCAATTCCACTTTTTTGTTAGACATCGAACATCGAAACATACTTTCGTTTTGTAGATCCTTTGGAAGTTCCAGCATCGGAAATTCTATTTGACATAATCGAAAGTTCAAGTTTACTTTTATAAAATTGCTCTTACAGTCTGCAAAAATAATAAGCGGGATCCAATTCGAAGATTAAGGAACAACGCAATCATTAACATTAACTGAAATAGATAATTAGATAATTTTAGCTTATACCGTCCGTTATAAATTAAACGCGCAGGCGAAAACGTATTCTGCACTTGCGCACACGCATATGCGCAATAGTCAAGGTCTTACGCGCACGCGTTAAACGCCTGTGCGCATGTGCCAACGCGGCGCATGCGCAGAAAGTTTTTAGCTTTGAGGTCCGGATTATGGGTGTCCGAATTAATGACTTTTGACTGTATATAGATAGATAGAGAGAGAGAGAGACTAAAAATAGTAAATTCTGAGCTACCTCTTCAAATACATGAAAGAAATTAAATTTAAAATTAGTACTATTTTGAAATTTTTTAATAAAAAATGTTAGTTTCTGTAAATGAAAAAAATTTTAAACAAAATGTTTTTAATTAGAAGAAATTTTGATATACATTAAAATATCTGTAAAAAGTGGAAAAGGAATTCAATTAAAATCTGATTCAATGTTATCAAGAGGAGGTAGATGAAATCTCAAATGAACTCCGTTTCTTAGGAAAAACACTGTGCTTCTGTTCATCCAAAATTAGCTAATGAACCATTTAAATGATTTAAACTTAATTTCAGCCACAATTATGTTATTAATGCTCCAGAATTCTTAATATAAATTAATTGTCTTATGTACATTGTAACATTAATACAAAATGAACATCATTCTCTTTATGAAGCCATTTGGCTTTTCTAAAATTAGTCGACTATGTTTCCACCATTGACTAAAAATCTCTTTAAGGTGCAATGAATTTCATAGTTTCTTTATTTTCTGTTTTTTTTTTTTTTTCCGACCTTAAGTTCAACAAATTATTCATTTCGATATATTAAATAAAACATAAAATTTGTGACTTTCATTTCAAGCATTTAAAAAGATTTCAGATAACAAAAAATTCTTCTTAGCAACTTCTTAGTAATAAGTTCTATCCTCCTGGCCTGTCTGTTAATATTCTTGTACACAACTAGCCGAGGACAGCTTATTCTGGAACAGTTTATGGTGAAAGGATTGGCTGCATATAGACGTGTAGCTTAAATATGAGAGAACATTTTCCACGAAAGCATCCTGCTTAATGAATACAGTGTTTTGAGCTTAATTATAGTCAATTAATCAATTAAACCAGTCTTTAATATTCCCAGACCTTTTATCAGTTAAATGGTGTTTTTTCTGAAGAAAAGCTTATTTGAGCTTGAACAGAAATTTATATGTCGGCTAATTCTAATATAAATATGTCAATAGATTGGCTGTAAAATAAAGATTTTTTTAATAGTATTGGCAATATCAGTGTAATTTTAAAATCAACAAAATTTAGTGAATGCTTCATATTTTATTTCTTCACCTCATCAGTTAGCTCAGAGACTTCAATGTGTTAAATTTCCCAAATATAAGAGGTGTTTTCCCACTAATTTTTATTCACTACGTTGAACAAGTTTCCCACCCCTGGTTTAACTAATTTCAGTATTTTAATTTTATATAATACATATATAATCTTAAATCAACAATTCATTGCATTCATTTGCTTTTCAGAAGCACATGTTTTAAATATATTTTTTTTATTAGCAACCTTAGATAGAATGAACAGAACAAAACTAAACTTTTTAAAAAATATTCTATTTAAAATCAATTAATTGTATTAGAATTAACCAGAACAGTTTGTCTTAAATCTTTCACAGAAAATATTCACAATTTTAAATCTTTCTTTTTATTCCTTTAACACTAAAAAAATTATTTTGCTGTTTCATTCTCTAAAACAGGGATAACTCAAAAAATTATATCTCACCTTATATATTTGCATTCCAGTTAACAGAGAATGAGACAAGCTAATGGGCCAATTTGCTTAATCCTTTAGCATTATGTGTTTGCTTTAGAAATAACTATAAATGAAACAATTTGTATAGTTCTCATGCAAAGTGAATTTGAAACAAGACAAAGACCATGATCTATAAGCCTCATTTATAGGAAAATTTTACATATTAAAAAAAAAAAAAAAAAAAGGGAAAAAGAAAAAAGAGAGAGAGTAATGACTAATAAAGTGGTGCACTTCATTTTCAGTCACACTTGTTTATTCTGGTGCTTTTCCAAAAGGCTTTTATGGGTTAGATCGCCTACGTTGCATCACAGTCTATGCTCAGTTAATGGTTTTTGGCAAGCTTGTTATGAAGAAGTAGGAGCAGTAATAGCTTGTTCAAATCAATGAGAGAGACAGCAGAAAGTTACTAATGTCAGCAGTATGATATTTTCTTGGAAATTTGGTCTGTACAACTTGCTATACAAAACATAAATTAGCTTCATAATGCTACTTTCAGTAATAAATTTTAATGTTGGAGAATAATATGTACACTACTGTGCATCTGGATTCCTTATAATACAAAATTATTTTGATATTCTTCAGTGTATTCCAAAACTAAAAATTAAAAATCATTAAATTTCTTTTTTAAAATCAATTTTTGAATTTTTTTTTACGTTATTTGGAAGCCCGTCTATTTGTTCACCTGAAACAAGTACCTCACTTGTCCCAGCTGTGGCTATTTGCATGGAATTTTCATGTTTTTCTTCTGAAATGTTTTCTTTCATGTTTTTCTTCTTCTTGAAATCAGAAAGTGCACCAGTTTCATTTAAAAAGTCCTCCTTGAAAACATCTTTACTAAGATAGATAGGTTTTAAGAATTGTTTTGTGTTATTAAATAAAATGGGTTCTCATTAATGAAAATCTGAAGACTATTGCAAAACTATATAAATTATTAAAAGTATTCTGTAAGTAATTTCATTTGAACTGAAAATTTTCAGTTTTCAACTTTTATGTGAATCAACTGAATATTTGAATTACAAGAGTTTACTGTAACTATTTACGTACTGTATTTTGCTTGCAGTTGTTCAAATTTTCAGAATTTAATATTAAAAATTAGCTAAATATAATCTGAATATATATCTGGTAATAAAAGTATTATATATTTTAAGTGAATTTTTTTACATATTCATTTTTGTTAAGTTTGTGACCATATGACAATGCATTAAAAAGTTTTTCTCTTTATTTTAGATAAAATTAAAAGTACCTGATAGTTTTTTTAAAAAAATGTGACCGATACATTTGTACTTATAAAATTTTATCAATGAATATAGGTCTATTATTTGGTACTCTCTTATTATTATGACCCCTGTTTTGTAAACAGCACCAAGATTATCAGTGGAGATCATCTTCAAATGTCTGGCTGTTCTAATGATGATCATTTATAGTTTACTTGTGAAAAGAATAATTCTGTCATTACAAGAAGAGCACAGAGTATTCCATTCATTAATTTTTTTTTTTTTTTTCTTTCAAAAAAAAATTTTACTGTTTGATTTATAAAGAAGGGAGGAAGATGGTATATTTTTCTTCCAAGAAAGATGCATTTTACCTTGCATTTGAATATTCAAAAATGTCCATTAAATAAGGTGCAATATGAAAGGTTGCAAGTGAAGGAAAACCATACAGTTTGACAACTAGTTCAGTAGTTTTGGAATATTGTTTGTAATACCACAGCAATTTATTTACTGTTTTAATAGTACAGCAATTTATTTAGTATTTTGATAGCACAGCAATTTATTTACTGACAACAGTTAAGTGATGGGGGAAGCAACTCCCTTACAAAAACATGACTATTGACTGAAACAGTTTATTATAGAGGTATATTCTTTACATCTAATCCAATAACCAAATAACCTGAAAAACTGCAGACATAAGCAAAAACATAGAGGAGGAAAAAGGCAGGCGAAGCTTTTCCAAAATACTGAATACTTGGCAGGTTAAATCGAGGAACTGGTGAATTCCTTCCGGTTCAGGTTCCAAATAGAGTGGCAGCCATGTTCATGACAAGACCATGTACAAGAGAGATTGTTGATTTCCTCAGACTGTTGGAGAGCATGTAAAACAGAGGACTTGGAAAAAGCAGATTAGAGAGATCTTATTGTGAACTATAAATTTCATTTTTTAGATCGAACAGCAACTGTTCATGCAGAAAATGTTGAAAGACTGGCACTCTGCTGAGTGGTGGAATAAAAACCAATGAGGCACAGTTCATCATCATCATCGTCATCATCGAGTATGTTATGAGTTACCTTGTGCAACTTGTATGAAAATGGGGCAGAAGTTCTTGGCATGAGAAAGTGCATCTGATGCCGTATTAAATGCATTCGCAAAAACATGGCAGCCACAAAGTGTATGTGAAAAGTAAACCTGAACCTGGCAATAATCCTGGTACAAACTTGGTGTTTAAAAAGTAGGGGCCATTACAATAAGGAAGTAACTATTATTTTTTTTGAATCAGGTTATAATTATTTTTTAAGATTTTATTTTGTACTTCTTTCTAATGAAAGTATTCTCTTTGCAGTAAAATTGATTTACAGAGTAGCACAGATTGGGTGGATGAACACAAGATTGTAAATGAATTTATTGTAAATGAACCATTACAAAAATTAAGATATGATTACATTTTATCCCAGTGCAAAAGGTAATTTTTATTAATTTTTAACTTGCATGTTTTTTTTTAGTCTAGAATTTTTTAAATAGAAATAAGAATTTTTTAGAATTTTGTGTAATAATTCAATATACTAATTCCATACAATATCACTTCTAAATATTAATCTAATTCATTGATTCTATGGATTTATTTATCTTAAAATTGAAAATATTTTAAACACATTAATTTTCATGCTCTTTTTATATCTTAGTTCAGTTGCTAAAATTTCAGAAATTAGTTCTGAGTACAAACCATATTCTTTGATTTCATAAATTTGTTTAATTGTACTTTTCTGTTCATGGGATGCTAATAGCCAAATATGGTAGCCTGTTTATATCATGAATAGCTGTGCCATGCCAAATTTTTGCAGTTCTGTGATGTTTTTGAAAGGAAAAACAGATCGCTGTATATATGAGGAGAAGTGCATGAATTCAGCATCATTTTTTTCCTTTAGTTATGGTAAAGCATACAAGGAGGGGAGCCGAAGGGGAAGGGCACCTTTTTTGAGGACTTTAAAAGGAAACTGCGTCGCATACACGTTACACATGGGGAAAATCATGAAAATGCTCTTGCAGCCAGTCCGTTCACCTGGAATTGAACCCAGGTCAGAATTACTCGTATTCAGAGATTTTACCATTTGGCCACTGGTGGGACTTGAATTTCATATTGTGCACATTAACATTATGTACATCCTGTTTATAAAAGTCCTTACTTGGTCTTTATTTTTGCAGCTACTTAGCATAGTTATAGACCTTCCAGTTGCAAAAATGTTTTGAGCAATGCACATATTCTTGTTTTGGCATTTTAAAATTTAAATAAATTAATTTTTTAAAACTTTTGAAATCTAACTTTGTATATGTTTTGCTGGTTCCTAAGTTATATAGTTCGACCGCCTCATCCGCGACCATCAGTGCAAACACGCATGCACCATTCGGAGCAAATTATTCTCAAAATAGGGTGGAAGGATGAGGACTTTCTTTCCCTCCAGCATATCTCTTTCCAGAGAAGAGAAGACTTTCATGTTGCAGCAAGTGATAACGCCCCTTTTGGACGAGTCTATGTGTTTTGGCAGAATGCCAACCCGGGTTGCGTTTGAGACGGTCTAGCTATATTTAGGAAAATTTTATACCATTTGCTATAAAAAATAAAGCACAAAAAGTGTGAGTCCCATATAACAAAAATTTAACAAGGTACTTGATATTAAAATCAGTGATCATATTCAGGGGCTGTACACAAATTGAAGAGCAAAATGTTTTCATTTATACTCAAGTAAAAATAGAATACCAGTTTCAAAAGTATTTTTGATATTAAGAGTTTAAGTGATGAGCATTTCTGTACAGTTTATTATGAAACTGTTGATCACTATATTTTTTCTCAAAATGGACATCTTATCCCCAAATCTTATAGAATTCATATTTTAGAAAACACTGGTAGGCTTCAGTACTGGCACTTAGATACACATAGTATTATTTACATTGATTAAAAATGAAAAATATTTGTAGTTTAGTGAATTTTTTGTCTTAATTACCAGATTATGATTCTGAAGTAATAAAACTTCATGAGAATATTAATAACATGTTTTTAGAACTATACATAGAACATGTTTTTAGAACTATACATAAAACATGTTTTTAGAACTATAATTACTTATTCACAAGTCAAACAACAAAAATCAGCGTTATATTTACAAAATTTTCACAGGACTAGTTTCGATGGTTTTACCGAACCACCATCCTCAGCTGCAAGATAAAAGGTTGCCATACTCCTTTATTATTCAATTACTAGCATAAAAATTGTTTAGGCACCACTACATGAGTCATTACTCAAATTATCATGTTGTTGTGATGAAAGGAAAGTATAAAAATAATGATTCGCCAGGTTTGCTTCAGATCAACGATGTCTCTCTGTAGAATGTTTCGGTTTGAGATGTGTGCCAAAGCAGATACACAGCAACAGAGCCAAATTATTTATCATACAAATTTATGCTAAATTGATTGTTTCTTCAATAACAAGGGATTTTATGTAATGTCGAAGTGAAATTAAGAATCGGGCCTCTTCAGATGTTTTATTATGCGTGGAATGGGGGAATCAAATGCGCATGCGTAAAGCCTACGAGAAAACAGTTTTGGTGGTTTTGAGGTCCGGATTTTGGATCATTCCGGATTTCAGACTTTGTACTGTATATCAACAATCATTGGTTGCAAAAATAAAGACCGTGTGAAGACTTTTGTAGATACAGTGTGTATTGTATTATATGATAAATTACAGTTATTCTTTTTTTCCCAATAAAGCTTTATGTAACTTTGAAGCTATCTAGTTAGATTTGGAGCCTATGTTTATGTTTGGTGTTAAGTTGTGCCCTGTTAACAGAAAAGAACCATTGAAATAAATTGTTACTAAAATATTTTTTAAACATTTTTAAATGTTATTTCTAAGTTTTATTTTTGATCAAAAGTCTGCTAAAATACATCATATTATTCATTTGAGAAACTGAAAAATATATATTTCATCAAAATGTATCTTGTTTCAAAATTCATATGAATAATCTCCAAGATTGTTTGGCTTTCAAATGAGGAAATTCTGATATTTCTGAAGATATTTTGATTATAAGAATTTTTCGTATTGTTCTTGAAACTAATTCCAGTGGGTATTTATGTAGCTCATATAATATAGACTATTGTTTTAGATTTTTCGATTACATTACCTTTCATTATACTTTTATAATTTTAGGTGTGCATCTCTGAACTGTGATCAAGTTTTGAAATTTCTCATGGATAAATTATCTTCAAAAGAATTAAATGTTCGACTGGTTAGTACATATATTTAAAAATTCATAATAATGCATTGATATTAAAATAATTCTTTTTTCTGTGTACTGTAAAATACATGCAATGAAAAAAAAAATTTAAAATTCTTTTTCATGTATTTCTTTCAGAGAATTTTTGTCTTTATGGAATATTTATTATTTTACGACATAATTACAGCAGAATCATTGCGCAAGATTGTCTTACCTGTTTTAACATCAACAACTATTGAAAATGCAGAGGAACAAATAAAATTAAAAGCTAAGAAGGTTAGTTATTGTATTATTTCATAGCTGTAATTATGTATGCATCTTTGTATTTTCTTGGAATGGAAGAATAATTTTAGCACACAAAATGTGCCCAGTATGGTATAACAACTGATAAATAAAAATAATAGAAATTTATTGTATTTCAGTTATTGATGTTGTATAATGTATTTGAGTGACTTGGAAGAAATTATTTACTCCATCTGTCAGTACTAATGGTATCTGCAGTGGACCAGAGAGGCCAGACTAGTTCCTTAACATTTTATTCATTACCATTTTCAAATATATTTTTACCCCCCAAAAAAGAAACATTTTACCTCTTTTGAAATTGTTCGTTATTCAAGTGCAGTCAGGTTTTTGAATGAATGGAGTTCACATTGCATTAATTCTATGTCAGAAAGGACTAGCTTATTTTTGCCTGTTCCCATAGCTGTCATAGATTTACTGTTAACTACTGCCATTAACTCATAAGAAATTTTAATTTTCTCATCATTCCTGTAAATGAAATTAATTTAACTTTTAGTGCTATATTTTAATTTGCCTTCATGAAAGCATTCCTGTGGTACATGAGATAATTCAGAGTAAAATATATTGATGCACTGATTCCAAGTTTAAACTATGGAGACAGACACATTATAAAAATGTAATTCTTACACAAGAGGCAATGCACAAGCAATCTCTTGATCTCATGAGCCATTTTATGAGAATGAGTTTTTATTATAATCAGCTGTTTTTATTATAATTCTATGGCAGTGGTGGCGAACCTTTTTGGGGTTGTGTGTCCAAAATGGAATAGCCGTGTACCATTCTGTTTAAGATATTAAATTAGAATTATTCATAAATTACCTCCAAATGGTTAGATCTGAAAACTAGAATCTATTTAACAATAAAAGTATCAGAACTCACCAGTAGTTTGCAATAAATTTGAATTCATTCAGCAAAAATTATCTGCTTCAACTTTGGCATGTTCTTTGCCATGTAACAAGTAATATGATTGGCCCAAACAATTGAAACGAAACATTATAAATTGGGTCAATAAATATGTATATCATATATCTAGGCTTAGGCTCTATGTCAGTCATTTTATGCGATAAATAAGTAAGTGAAACGTTAAGTAACGATAAGTAAGTAAGAACAGACTAAAGCACTTATTTTACATAGTATCATTTTATTGTGATTATTGATTAAGGAAGTAATATTTTAGTCGCATGCCGGCTAATAAGACTCTGCATGCCGACTGTGGCATGTGTACCATAGGTTCGCTATCACTGTTCTATGGTCTCAATCAGTGACGTGTAGCTAGAGGGCGGTAGAAGAGAGACTCTGCCCTGGACAGCTTTTTTACGGGGCTATATTTTTTTTTTTATGTGAAACATATTAAAGAGATTAGTCATATGAATTTTTGCAGGGAATAAAAAAATCTGAAAGGTTTTTCAGATTTTAAAATATGTCCAAAAAGGGCACATTTTTTTAACACTTTGTGTGTTACCTTTATTTATTGAATATCATGTTCTTTGCACTTAAACCATAAAATTCAGTTCAACAGCAATGTTGCAAAATAATTTTAAAATGAGCATATCTTTAGAATCTCTGATACACAGTTTGGCATCTTAAGACAAGCAAGTGGTGTTATGAAAAGAACTTCAAGAATGTGATTGATGGTTTTATTAGTGGGAAAAGAAGCAAAATAGCAGTTAAAATATTATGATTAAAATTTTATTTAAAAAAATTAACAGTTTTTTTTTTTTTTTTTTTGTTTTGTTTGTTTTTGTTTAAATTTTCTTATATGTTACTTCGGTACTTCATAGATTTGATTTTCGGTGTACTTTGAGAAGGGGGCAAATGGACCACCCTGGGTAGCAAAAACACTGGCTGTGTACTGGTCCCAAAAGCTTGTCTGTCATGTTTTGGGGGATAATACATTTTCAAAAGATACAAAAGTAATGAAGGTGAACCTACTTAACATGATCTAATTTGTGCAAGAATGAAATATTATACTTGTTATTGCAAAGTAGAATATTACAGAATTTCAAAATAATTAATATTAAAATCAAGTAGTTATCCATTTTGCTGTTTTTCAGATTTGGTTAATACAGTCAAAAGTCTTTATTCTGGACGTCCATAATCCGGAATGATCTATGATCCGGACCTCAAAGCTACACACTTTATGCTCATGCACGTTTAATGTATAACGGACAGTATAAGCTAAGCTAAAATTATCTAATTATCTATTTCAGTTAATGTTGCAGATTGCGTTGTTTCTTAATCTTCTAATTGGATCCGGCTATTGGATCTTCTAATTTGCAGACTGTTAGAGCAATTTTATAAAAGTAAGCTTGAACTTTCGATTATGTCAAAAAGAATTTTCGATTCTGGAGCTGCCAAAGTATCTACAAAGCGAAAGCATGTTTCAATATCCATCAAACAAAAAGGGGAATTTCTGAAAAAAATGGATAAAGGCATATCCTTTGTTTCTCTAACCATTCCGAAATCCGTTTATCAATTTCACGTCGCGACGCGCAATGAACTGGACGTTGATCTGTCAGCACTATCCTTATCTTCAGAGCAGATGTTTTTATTTTATTCGGCTTATAATTCCTTACTAAATGTAGTATTTCATCTCAATGTACTCCGTCCGTATGATTTAAATCAAATTCCTCGTCATTATACATATCACAAATACACATCAAATAGTTTTCTGGTTGCAATTTTCTAATTTCGACTATGCGCAATGCACGCACTAAAAGAAATGTTTAATAAAGTAAACAAATAAATATTAAGCTTTTTTTTTTTGGTAAAATTTGATATCCTTTAGATCATAATTGCTCTTCATGTCATAAATTACGGTTCATATTTTTAATTGTATAATTTCTGCATGCCAATTTACCAGATTTAAATTGATGATCTATAATCCGGAAAAGCCGATAATCCGGAATCGCCGAAGTCTCCACGAGTCCGGATTAAAGACTTTTGACTGCAATTTATTATGACATGAATCAAATAAAATATATTGCTTAATAATGGTATGATCACTTTGACTTCCCCTCTCTATTTCATTTTCATAAGTGTATCATAGCACATTAACCATTATCATACTCATTAGTCTTTAAATTATGTCATTATTCTTCATATTCAAAATGCAATAAATCCGGGCATTATGACTATCTCCCTGAAATAACCACTTCTGAAAGTGATCAGTATTTCTGAGGACATAAACAAGCACTAATGCAGAATTTCACTTCTGTAAGATGACAACCACCACCACATGCACAGTCATCTTAGAGAGAATTATAATTTTTCTTTGTGCCTAGTCTCTTTCAATAAGAACCTCAGCATGTCACTGAAAGGTATAGTGAATATGGTTATTTTAAATGGTAATGTTAAAACACTTTTCCAGTTTATATTGTATATTATTTTATATTATTTGTTTTAAATATAGTTTTGGACCAACATTGGAAGTATTCATTTGTTTTATCTTGTTTAAAGTAAGAGGAATTAAAATTATTTTTGCTGTTATTATAAGATAAAATAATTTGTTAATGAAGTAATTAATCTCATTTTTATAGAGCATCTGAGTAATTTAGAAAAATTCTTTATATGTATTATTTTTAGTAACACTATATTTATATTTTCAGTAACACTGTGTTATTACTTACAGTTGTCTCTAATTGTGCATTGTCTGAGTAAACATCAGCAAAAACAAGGTATAGAACCGAATTGACCAGTCAGGTAATTAGTATTCATAAAAATCAAGTTTAATAGGCTGTTGTTTAGTGCATTTTTAAAAGCATGCTACCGTATGCCTGTTTTAAATGCTACCTTTCAAATACGAAGCAGTTAGTGGTTTCAAATATAATTTAAAATGGAAGTAATGAATGTTGTTTTAAAACCTTTTTGAAAGTTATTTTCTTGAGAATGAAACATAACACTTTCTCCTGTTACAAAACTAATATGCACTGTAGTGCATTTTATATGTTATTTATTTATTTTGCTGATCTTAAATTCTGAATGTTTTTGAATTTTCTTTTACTTTCTCAAATAAATTTCTTATATTTCAGACTGCTTTACTTGATGATCATATCTAAATGAAGAATCTTGAATATTTCTATCCTATACTGAGATGAGCTTGAAGTTGAAACTGTGATTTCTGTCTAATTTATTCCTTTTATTGATTTGTAAATAAATTTTATAATTTTTTTCTACTAACTATTTTTACTATCTTTTGAGAACTTCCATGTTTGAGTGTCTAAACAATATTTATAAATAAATATTTTTCAAGTTTTAAACTGGTAATAAGCATAATTAAATTGGAAATAATATTCAGGGCTTTTAATATAAAGAAACATTTTAATTATAGAAGAGCTAATTTCAAAATCATTATATAATGTATGATTTATTTTAGGTTCTAGCATTTGAATTCCTTTTATTTATATATTGTAATGGCGAAACTTAAGGAAATTGAAATGGAAGTCATGAGTGTGGGTATTCTCAGCAAATATGTTATAAATAATCTTCCAAAGTGAATACACGAACTTCAGTACTCACAGACTGATTTAAAAGTCATTAGTTGTAAATACATCTGAGCAGTGTTTTTTTTGGGGGGGGAGGGGTGTCTGTATGCCCATTTTTAATTATTACTTTTTTTTTTGTTAAGGATAATTTTTTTTTTTTTGGTATGCTTGTTTTTGATTATTTCTTTTTAACATTTTGGATATGCCATATAACAATGTTCATATCCCATTTGTAATTTAAAATAGTTTTGTAGAAATAATATGAAATTAGACTTAGAAATAATTCTATGAGAAAATCAAAATTATTAGAAATCAGAGTTAATTAAAATGCACTGAAACTAATTTTGTAAATCCAACATCAATATTGTAATATTTTAATGAAAAACAAGTATATGATTTCTTAAACCAAAAATTAATTTAAAAGTATCTAATTTAACATATATTCAAGAGAAAACCAAGAATACATTTTAAAATCATTTAATAGTTGAATGAGAGTAAAAATTGCTTTAAATTGTTTATAGTTTATGTTTAAAGTGACATATGTAATCTTTGAAAATTTCATTCTTGTTTCAGCATAGGAAAAGCTATTGAGTGCTGACTTTGCAACTCCAATTTTCACATTATGTGTTACTTATTTAGTAATTTGCTAATGGAATATGGTGTATCATTGAATGAGCTGATGATTTCTGTATGCAGCTTTCAATGAATATGAACTTTCTGAAAAAGGAAAGGATTCAGTGAATTTCTAAGAATTTTATTCAGAAAAATATGTTTTGTTAGACTTGATCATGGTGACTTATAGTGGAGATGCACAGGAAATTAAGATGTAAGTTGTGAGTGTGGGTATTATCAGCACATATGTTATAAATTGAATACATTAACTTCCATACTGACACACTGATCTAAAAGCTGTAAGTTGTAAATATATTTAAGCATTTAAAGTAGTTAAACTGTAGTTGATATTTAGAATACTTTTGTCTTCTTAAGTCATCTAATTAGTGCAGTTGATTATATCTGCACATAAGGTTTGTCATCATTTTATATGTATTTCCATCTTCTGTAATGCCTATTGTTTCATTCTCTGTGGTATCACCTATATTGTTCTTTTGAGGTATAGATCTTGAGCTTTCTGTAGTATCTCTCATGCAGTTATTATATTGTTATGAATTGCTATGGATTTCTGAATACAGTTACATGGCTGTTTTCCAATGAAGACATCTCATGCTGGTGAAATAGCTATTTGCCATAGCCGTTTTGGTTCATTTGATACTGAAAAGAACCAATATGCTAGTAATTTTTCCAATATTTGTAACTACTGCAAATGATGATGATGCATTGACCAACTCCTTACATTCACGATAGAGCAATGTGGGAATAATTTTCCTATTTTGCCTACTTTTCTCAAGAGATGGTGAATGATGTGCTCATTTATGAAGCAGTAGTAGCCAAAACCGATGCAATTACAGGTCAGCTGAACTCTGTATTTCAAGGTCATCTGGAATACTTTTTAAATATTTAAAAGCATGATTAAATAGTGAATACCATGAAACCTATTGACAACAAAGAAAAGCAGGGAGTGTTCTTTGCTGATACCTTGTCAAACTATTTGGCTTTCAAATGGGCCAAAGCAAAGCCTAGTATAGTACACTGTCATTGTCAGAGAGACTCATCGAGGTCCTATGTATCTTCTATCACAACCTGTACTCTGAGAAAACATGTACAAAAGAGTCTGAATAGCTCTAGGTTTGTGTCATGATTAATTACTTTCCTTTCTGAAAATAGAGAGCCAAGTGATCCTCAGCAGATAGGTTGTTGCTTATACTACCGGTGTAGCATTTGCTGTTGTATTTACTGGCGGCAACTATGCACCAATGGTTTTGATCTGCAAGCTATTAAAATCCAAGAAAAACTAAATTGTGTGTGATTTTTCAAATCTGAAGTTTACATTAGTGAAATTATTGTGCTCAAGTCTGAAGAAAGCTTTATCAAACAAGGGTAGAACTAATCCTGGTTCTGATGGAATCAACTGTATATAAGCATATCCCCTCTTAGACACTGGCCATCCTTTTGTTAACATCAAAATCATGGAAAGATACTAAGTGTCCCTCATATTATCAGCCTATAGCACTTACCTGCTGTATGTGCAAATTTCTTGAAAATAGGGTAAACTTCTGGCTAATCTATTACGTAGGCGAAGATGTAAACGAGAGATTGAGAGCGGCGAAATTAATATAGTTTTCCTGTGATAACTTGCATGAAATGCAACACTGGAGAATAGTTTCAAGAGTATGCAGGAAATTTATATTTTTTAATGAAAATAATTTTTTTATTCTCCTTCCCAGTCATTCAGAACACTGCATTGATTTTGAATGCAATTTTAGAAGAGACAAATAAGGTTAATTTTTCACTTTCTTTTTTTCAATAAGTTCAAAATTCCCCTCAAATTTCTCTTTGAAAAACAAGTGTAATATATACATAAAAAAAAAAAAAAAAAAGTTTTAACCATAGTTTGGCACTAATTTCAAATGAAAAGTCTGAATGAATTTTGAATATAAAAAAACTCATGTCACAGGAAATAAAAATGCCTTTCTTCATCAAAAAGAAGCTATTCTGCATTCTTTACAGTTTTTATCGAAGACACAAATGTTTTGAAAGTTGAATTGATTCTCATAAAGTTTTTAGGTTTTCATTTATGTAAAATACTTTGGCAGCCTATCTCTGCAATTGTAAATAACTTTCTGTAGCAGTAAAATACTTATTATTAATATAGCTGCTGTTATCAAAACAATAGTACAATAAATTGGTATAAAAAACAAGTGTATGTAGGTAAATAGAAGTGTAAAAGTAACATCATGCGAATTAATTAATTATTATTTTAATTTTGAATGCAAGAACATTTAAAGCTGAAAAGATACAACGAGATCAAGTAAATAAGTCACAAGTCTTTTGATGCTTTGCTAAACAATGACAAGAATTGTATATCTGTTTTGTGCAACTTGCACAATTTATAGCTAAGAAAAAAGTTTTGTGCTATTACTCTGTTATACTACTTCCTAAAGCACTGCATGAAGATAAAGAATAATACACACTTAATACAAACAAAAATTCATACTTCTTTTTCTTCAGTTGCACTACAGCCATCTCAATAATCTTCCTCTAATGAATCCAATCAGTCGCTACGATCCGCCAGCAATTGATTTTTAAAGTCTTGAAATCTGCCTTCATACAGATGAAGAAGGTAAGGATATTGTTCGAGATCTTCATCATTTCCTAGTACCTTCTACACTTGCAAAGGTCACTTTTTTAATAGGGTTTAAGTCGTTACATATAAAAATATGTCCAAGGCACCTGATACGATAAGATTTGATGACAATATTAGGTTGTTTGTATCTTCTGTTGATTTCATGGTTAAACAAAATTCTCCATCTATTATTTTCTCTAACTAGTATTAGAGTATTTGAAAGAGTATATAACATAAACTATATATAATATAGTTTATATAAATATATATTTTCTAACTATATTTTTTCTACCTTGATGCTCTGAGCCTTATTTGTTTCGGAGTATTTTTCTTTCAAAATAAATGTCTTTCTTCATTTGTTTTTGTTAATAGGAAGCATTCACTTCTGCACAATATGATAGGTCTAATAAGAGTTGTATAAAGACATTTTTTTGTCTTGAAGTTTAATAATTTAGACATTCATAAATTCTTTAAACCATATATCTGAACATTAACGTCTATTAGCTCTAAATAATCTATTGTCAATTTCAAATTTAACATTGTTATCTTTAGAGATGAAAGCACCAAGGTACATAAACTAAACAATGCCCTCGAAAGTTTTTTACAATTTATTTTTTAATGGCCGGGCGCTTTATTTAATAGACATTGTGTGCGAGTTTCATTGTGGAAGCACCTAATAGGTGGCCACCATTGTCTCCAATGAAGGGACGGACAGTTGCAACCATGCCTTCTCCGGGGTTCGAACTCGGACTCATCGCTACGGCAGTCAGTTTTGGTGACTAACCCACTATACCGGTTAAGCGGCAACACCCTCGAAAGTATACGAATTTATTTGGAATGGGAGGGGATTATGTGATGTACTTACTACTGCTGTAAATTTTGTTTTACTCTCATTAAGGGTTAGTCCAATGTTTCTGGATGCAGACTGTAGAGAAATAAAAGTCTTCTTAACTGCTTATTTACTTCTGCCAATAATGTCGAATTCATTAGTGTACGCTAGTAACTGTATAGATCTCTGAAAAATGGTGCCTCTAGTTATAATTCCGGCATCTCTAATAGCCTTTGCAAGGGCGATATTAAAAAACATGCATCACTTTAAATCAATACTTCACCGATTACAGTATTTCTGTGTCCTTTTACGTATTTGAAGAACTGAAAAAATGTTATTCGGTTATTTTCGTCCGCCGTTATTCAGTTATTTTCGCCTACCCTTAAACATAGTGGGGAACTGTAGGGGCCTTCTGTCTCGAATTTGCGAGGTCCTTGTTTTCTTTTTGTTTGTGTAACACTGGCGAGCCAAAGCATTATGATCATCCCCACATTTTTCAACGAACTCGTCTGGATAATGTCGAGGGCACGTGAGTAAGTGGGAATGTCGTTTAACTGCTGGTGGGAGAAGGTAAGGAATCATTCGTGCACTTAACTTCTGCGAGTGATTGGAAAGGCTGCTGATC